CCGTAGCCTTTGTGGCCCAACTGCCTTACGAATTTAGACCAGTTCCTAGGCTCCTTTTGGTTGGCTGGTGGTGGTGGGGCTAGCTGGAACTCGGTTTTTGGGCAGAGTATTTCTCTCTTGCCGGGCTGGTCTAAATGTTCCCTCTGTAGGCACTGGCGGAATTCTGCCCTGTGCTGTGTTCCCCTATGTCAGGGTGGCCCTGCGTTTCAATGCATAGTCCCACAATCCCTTCATTCTCCCTCGCCTGGGCACACAGATTCTGTCTCCACTTGAGGTGCTGGCATGGCACTGCTGGGGGATGGGGAAAGGGTAGTATAGGCAATACAAGATTATCTTTTCTGCCCTCTTCAGTGCATCTCTCCTTGATATAATTTTAAAAGCAGGCAGTATGATTGCTCACCTGATTTTTTGTTCTTCTAAAGGTCCTTGCTTACATGGATAGTTGTTGAATTTAGTGTTCATGCAAAGGGATGATCGTTGGAGGTTTCTATTCAGCCATCTTGCTCTGTCCCCTCCCCCCCTCAATATTTTTTTAAGAATTTTAAAAGTTGAAACTGCTGCTTAGCAATTTAATATTATAAACAATTTTTAAAAAGTATTATGAAGTTAATCCCTAACCAAATCAGCTCTTAATTAATTTGGACAAATAGATGAAAGAAACTGCTTGAAATAAACATAAAGAAGTCTCCTTTCATCAGTAAAACTAAACCTAATTCAATAACATATATTAAAATAAAGTTAACAAGAAAAAATTAATTTTTTAATGTGGCAATTTAGAGTTTTTATTCCCTTGGCCATTCCCAGTCCCCCTAAAAAAACCTGATTCTCATTTTTTTACAGCTAAAATTAAGGTTTCCTCAAAACAAAACACCTAATAACTTGTAAAAGTCATAGCCAAATGACAACAAAGTGAATGAGGACATTTTACAAAGGAACTTAATATCATGAAATAAGCTATTTTCTCCAAGTATATAAAATTTATATGTAGGTGACTCATAATTTGTAAGTAACTT